AAGCACAACAATCTCTTCTATTATCATCAAAATTATTATCTTTACATTCTTGACAATCTGCTTTTAATTTATTTTTCCATAATCCATGTTCTTTTAATATAGTTTTCATTCCTTTTAAAATTTTATTTTTATGCATTATTTGTTCTATTTTATCAGATTCAGCATAAAAATAAGTATCTTTTGTAATTATTTTTCTCTTTTTTTATCTACTTTTATTTTTTTTTGCATCACTTAAGGTCATTCTTTTTGCAACAAGAGCATCACATGCATATGCTTTATGAGAAGGGTAATTATCAAAAATAAATACTGCAGTACAATTTGGAAATTGTTTTTCAAAAATTGGAATAGCTTTTTCTTCTATTTGTTTAACAAGATCTTCAGCTGTCCAATATCCTTGATATTTTTTCCAATTTCAAAAGTTGTATATGCATATTCATCATTAAATTTAAGAGGTCCATCTTCTTGAGTAAGAAATTGCTAATCATAATTGAATGATCCAAATGTTTAGAGATTCCTATAGGATCTACAGGAACTCAAAAATCTTCAAATAGTTGCCATAGATATAAATGACCATCAGTAGATCTAGCTGACATTTCATCATGAAAAATGATTATTTTTCTTTTTTAATTTTCATTTAATTCTGGATAAGTAATAATTTCTAAATTTTCTCCTTAAAAATTAGCTATAAAAGGTTTAAGCTTATCCATAGTTTTAATAAATTTTTTTCTTTCTTTAACTATATCTGGCCTTTTATGACCATCCCAGTAAATTCTTTTAAAAATAAAATAAAATAAAATAATTATTAGATAATTTTTTTATATAAATAAATAAAAATAAACTATATAACCTTTTTAACTGGTTGATAAGAATATCCAAGCTTATTTAACCATTTAGCTGATGTTCTTAAGCATATTGGTTTGGATAATTGTTCATTAATATAATTTTTAAATTTACTAGGTGTAGTTGTTTTGCCTTGTAATTTAATCCAATTTTTACATTCTAATACAAAACTTTCATCATCAATTTTTGAAATAATTTTTTTATGTTTGCCTTGTTTAGATATTGGCAAACTATTATTTTCAAGCCAATATTTAGCCCAGTTTTGAATAGTTCTTCTTGCATTATCAGTATATTAAATATATACTAATTTAGCAGCTTGATTGCCTACTGCTACTTTTGTTTCTTCACTATTCAAAAATTTTAAATATTCATAAATAGCTCTTTTTTTATTATAGTTAAAAGCTATTAAAGTTTTTTCATTTTCTAAAAGATCATTTTTAATTGTTTAATTTTAATATTTAATTCTTCTTTTAATAAGCTTCTATCTATCTATTTTAATTTTTTATTTGAAGAATCTTGATTAATATCACAAGTAATTCTTTTTGTAGCCATTGTAAGTATATTTTTTTAATAAATTTTATTGTATATAATAAATATTGTATATTAAAATTTTTAAAATTAAAATAATACAAAACAAATAATTATAACTTTATATAATTTTTAATTTTTAAAATTTTTTTGCAATACAATATAAAAAAAAAATTAAACAACAAATTTATTTTTTTTTATTATTGTTCATTGGAGAATTGTACTAACTAACTAAATATAGATTTGTTGGGGTTATTATTATTTAACAATAGGAGTTTAGGGAAGTGTTCCCTGACTTGTATACAATAATAAAACTGATTAATCGCATATTAATGAATATTTATTTGCAATGACATAATACAACTTTTACTATTATGTACAGTGCAAGAAATCTAAAAACCATAATCACCTTACAAAGACAACAAAGACAAGACAAAGTATGAACAATCACTTTTTATAAAGTATAAACAAGTAGCATGTACATAAATATTTTATTGAAGTTAATAATTTAAGAAATATTTGACTTCAAATATGCTACTTAATTATGCGCTGTATTTGAAAATTAGTGAGTATTAATAAAAACCTGCATTCCTTCCCGAAATAATACAAACTTCAATTGATATAACACTAGAATAATTTATCTTTATGTCAGTGATTGCTATTAATATGAAACTGGAAAAAGTATTCCTAAAATGAACCCAGTATTTACGTATTTTTCGTAGACCTAATTGTATGTAACCTTAAAAAATTTATTTGTACTTAGTGTTCACGCTCATTTGTAAATCTTTAGGTCTAATGTTGCCAATTCGAAGAGATAATCATATATAGCTCATTGTTGTTGATCAAACAATCTACCAAAACATGTTCTTAATTTGTTAATTTATTTTAATTATTGGTTTATTAAAACAGTGTGACAGAAAATGGTAAACAAAAGATCTGAAAATACATATTGTTCACACCATACATTCTCTGCGAACGATCGTCCACTATGTAATAATATTTTGATAATCTTGCTATTTTTATAGAATTCATTTAAATCTAATTTAGTCATTCTTAAATACTGAAAAAAGTTGTTGCATATGATTTTCCGGACTTCCTTATGTGCTACTTAATTATGCGCTGTATTTGAAAATTAGTGAGTATTAATGAAAACCTGCATTTCTTCCCGAAATAATACAAACTTCAATTGATATAACACTAGAATGATTTATCTTTATGTCAGTGATTGCTATTAATATGAAACTGGAAAAAGCATTCCTAGAATAAACCCGGCATTTACATATTTCTCGTAGACCTAATTGTATGTAACTTTAAAAAAAATTATTTGTACTTGGTGTCCATGCTCATTTGTAAACCTTTAGGTCTAGTGTTGCCAATTCGAAGAGATAATCATATATAGCTCATTGTTGTTGATCAAACAATCTACCGAAACATGTTCTTAATTTGTTAATTTATTTTAATTATTGGTTTATTAGAACAGTGTGACAGAAAATAGTAAACAAAAGATCCGGAAATACGTATTGTTCACACCATACATTCTCTGCGAACGATCGTCCACCGTGTGATAATATTTCGATAAATCTTTCTATTTTTATAGAATTCATTTAAAAAGTTGTTGCATATTATTTTCCGGACTTTCTTGCGACAACTGGAGTATTAGGATTATTATTTATTTTATTGATGGCCTAGTGCAATCTTCATGTAAACGCGACTTACCAAAGTTGCACCATCAGATTTTAATATGAACTTTATGATGGATGATGCTGAAATTTGGTGTCTAATAGACCAATAATTAAAATAAATTAACAAATGCAAGTTGAAACTGCTAATTAGAAGAGATAATCATTTAGAGCCCATTGTTGTTGATCAAACAAGTAACTAGTCAAAATGTTTCCTTCTCAGTATATTATATTTTAAAACTTTGTTAACAACAGTTTGTAAACAATAAACAATAGATAGTTTAGATTTTGAAGTCTTGAATCATCAAATTGTAGTTAAATAGTAGTTTGTATAAGTAATTACTAAAAAGTTTTAATTTAGTTTTTAGTTTGATATTTTAAAAAATTATTTTAAATTATAAAAATTATTTTTTTATTTATAAAATTTTAATTATTTTCAGTATAATTTAAATCTGTATCATCTATATCATCATCATCAAGATCTATACAATCTAAATCTAATTCATTATTTTTTATATCATCTATATCTATTTCTAAATTTAAATTAATTATTTGTTCATTTATTATAGTATCATCTAATTTATCCCATAAATTTTCTGGAATATGTCAGTGTGATTTATATTTTTTATCAATTTATGCTGCTTGTCTTCCATTTAAACCTTGTTTATATGCTTCTAAAAATTTCTAAAATCTATTAGCATATTTTCTTATAATTTTTATATCAACTGATTTTAAAGCATCTGGAATATATTTTTTTAAACCAGATATTTTATAATCACAATTATCATGAAGGTATTTTTTTACTGAACTCCAATATTGTTCAATAAAATTAAGTTCAGGATGAAATCTTGGAAAAAAAATACATTCATGACCTTTTTTTCTATTACTTCTTCTAATAGCATTTTTTGTTCTAAAAAATCTTGTTGTAAAGATATTATTCTTCAAGCACAACAATCTCTTCTATTATCATCAAAATTATTATCTTTACATTCTTGACAATCTGCTTTTAATTTATTTTTC